GACACGGAGCTTTCTAGAAGGGAGGAGTCAGCAAGTAAAATTACAAGGTGCTCTGTCATCTATAAGGTCTTGCCCTTCCGGAGTTCCCCAGGGATCTGTTATATTACCAACATTGTTTAATGTTCATGTGGATCTGCATTCCCAATTATCTGGACATCAATACGCACAAATACGCAGATGACTGCATTCAAGATGAAGTGATTCCATACGGTTCTACTAGCAACATGCAAAAGGTGCTCGATGCAATAAACGACTGGACACATAGAAACAAGATGAAACTTAACGCGAAAAAGACGAAAGACATGTGGATCTGCTTTAAAGCTGCAATTCCGGAACCACCACATCTTAAAATTGGCGATGATACAATTGAAAGAGTAAAGTCATTCAAGTTGCTAGGTCTTTGGATTGACAATACCCTTAAATGGAACACCCACATTGACGAAATTGCAAGGAGGGCAAACAAGCGCTTATTCTACCTACGAGAGTGTCGTCGAGCAGATCTACGAACTAATGTGGGTTTGACGTGCTATGAATCCAAATTAAGACCGGTTTTGGAATATGCTGCCCCAATTTGGGGTGGCCTGCCACAATACCTTACTGACGAACTGGAAAGTATCCAGAATAGAAGCCTGAAAATTTTGGATCTACCTCCTGATTCTCTTCAATCTCTAGAACAACGTCGGGATAAACTTTCAATTCGCGAGTACGAGAAAATCATTAATGACGAAACACACCCATGCAGGAAATACATACCAGACATGGTGACGAACAAGTATGACCTGAGAACACCAAAAACTCTTCCCGGAATTTTCTCATACACTAAAAGGCATGAACTATCGTTCATTCCCAGAACAAAGTCATTATTATAGACAATATTTTTATAACTATTCCTACAATTTTTATCTGTACATATAACTACTAGACTTCTACTTAGATTTTTACTGTAAATCCATTGTATTTTTACACTAAAGATAGATCAATAAAACTGTTATTATTATTAAAATATAATTTATATACATATATATATATATATATATATATACATATATATATATATATATATATATATATATATATATATATATATATATATATATATATATATATATATATATATATATATATATATATATATATACCAAATATGTATATAGAATCATATATGAGTAGAGTGCTCGATATACCGAAGTATAGAGCTAATAGATAAAGATAAAATAAACTTGGTTTACTTCATAAGATTTATTCACAAGATTTATTTATTCACAAGATTTATTTATTTCTTCATAAGATTTCTTCATAAGATTTATTTATTTTTTTGTGAATAAATCTTATGAAGCAAACCAAGTTTATTTTATCTTTATCTATATATATATATATATATATATATATATATATATATATATATATATATATATATATATATATATATATATATATATATATATATATATATATATATATATATATATATATATATATATATATATATATATACATATATATATATATATATACATGATATTTTTGTAAAAGTTTGTAACTGATCTATTAAAAATCTTCAATAAAAACATACTAAATGGCATCCGTGTTAAAACACCTCTACGAAGGCGATCATGCGGTTAGAAATTCAAAAGATTTTGTTGATTTTGTAATGACCCAAACAGTAGAACCCGATGAACAAATTGTGTCATTTGATGTCACTTCGCTTTTCACATCAATTCCGGTAGATTTAGCACTAAAAATCGTTAAAGAAGAACTAGAAAATACAGAGATTTGGAAAGAGCACACAAAGTTGACGATAGAACAGATTTACAGTCTTTTGGCTTTTGTCTTAAAAAATAGCTTTTTTGTGTTTAATGGAAAGCACTACCATCAGATTTCTGGTTGCGCAATGGGTTCACCAGTAAGTGCGGTTATTGCTGAGCTAGTTATGCAAAGGGTGGAAAAAATTGCTTTGAGAACATCCCCAGTGCCGATACGATGGTGGAAAAGATATGTTGATGACTCAAACGCGTGTTTAAAACAAAACGATATAATAGCTTTTCATGATCATTTAAATTCTATAAATCCTTGTATTCAGTTTACCATTGAAACACCGGCAGTAAATGGAGACATGCAAACAATCGCTTTCCTGGATACAGAGATTTGTAAAATTTCTACAGACATTTCGATTAAAGTTTTCCGTAAGAGCACACACACCGACAAATATCTAGATTTTGGCTCACATAGCCCTGTAAGAGACAAGATCGCAGTTGTAAAATCATTATTAGACCGAGCGAGAGTTATTCCATCAAACCAAGTTTTACAGAAGGAGGAAACGGATAGAGTAGCAGAAGTGTTAGAGTTAAATGGATACAAGAAAGCGTTTATTGATAATGTTAGAAATACAAACAAAACACAACAAAATTCTTCTGAATTTGAGATTCGTGGCTCGACGTGCATTCCGTATGTGAAAGGTGTGTCGGAAAAAGTCAAAAGCATCTTAACTCGAGCAGGCGTTCGGACAGCATTCAAGCCGATAGTCACGTTAGAGAATGTATTCAAAAAACCAAAAGAAAGACCACAGGAAATGCGAACAAAAGCTATTGTGTACAAATTCAAATGCGAGTCGTGCTCATTCACTTATGTCGGGGAGTCAAAAAGATGTTGGTGTTCCCGATGGCTTGAACACAAACCAGGCGTAAGAAAAAAGACTTTTTCAGCTATAAAAGAACATGCTGAACAGACAGGTCATGAAGTCGCTAAAACTGACGTAAATATTTTGGAAAAAGGCATTAAAAACTATGACAAAAGAAGGTTTCTTGAAGCGTTACATTCTGTACTAGACAAAAATGCAGTCAATGAACACATAGAATTTCCGGTTTCGTATTTACCATTGTTAGAATCAATTGAGTGTAACGGGATAAGGCATAAAAGGACTTGAACTAATCGAACACGGCCAAAATACTCTGAAGAAGGCTGCAGTTGGCAGCCGAAAATTTAGTATGTTTTTATTGAAGATTTTTAATAGATCAGTTACAAACTTTTACAAAAATATCATATATATATATATATATATATACTATATAATATCACACATATTATATACTATATAATATCATATATATATATATATATAAGGGGACAAAACATGGACTCTGGTTTCTGCTAGAAAAAAAAGATTTTGAGGAGACTTTTTTTTCAAATGACCGGAATAATTTGCTTGACCATCATGGTCAAGGAACTAAGCTGCATTTTCCTGTAAAAGTTAGACATTCTATATATTAGTCACTAACACAACACATTGTCGAAACATCAGGAAATGTTGTTCCATCACCCAGGTCTTATCTGGAGAAAATGTCAATGGATTTTATTAAAGTAGCTGCATGAGGAAATATTTAATTATCCATCAGCCAAAATAAATTCAGGTGCACTCTACTTTAATATCTTAATTTGTCTATGTAATGGTTTTTACTCCATTGACGATTACAGTGATTAGTCCATTAACATTTTCTCCATATCAGACCCTGGTGATGTAATTTCCTGATCTGTCAAAAACATGTTGTGGTGGGGAACCAAGATATCGGCTAGTCTATTATGTTTTCATCAATGTCTCTTTTTGTGCTTTAGGTTGCCATCCTTTTTGTTGTCATATAATATATACAGAACAGGGGGGATGGCGAGGGTGGTAGAAGCTAGAAGGTTTATAATTTTATACACCTATATACATGTGGGAGCTATCTTTTCTTTGTTTGCTTTTTTTTCTTTGGCTTTTTTGCTCCTTTTTGCACATTTCTTTGTTGCACATTTGCAGGTTGCTCTGGTATGCTGCTGTTATCTTCTCCAATTTTATTTGAAACATCCGGCTTTTGTATGCTTATGCACTTCTGTTTTTTATTTTTACTGGCCTCTTGCTTCCCGTCATTCCAAAACTCAGTTGCAACTTTTTTGTATCCTCTTTTCCTTCTTTCTCTCTTGTGCAGAGTGTTAATTTTGTGCTCCGCTCGTATCACCACTGCAGGGCTGTCAAAATTGTTTGACTTACGAAGGACTATACTTCTGGCAACATCATTGTTTTTCTCTACACCTGTAAAGAAAGTGCAAAAAATATAAAATGCAATATCTCATATTGGCAGGATACAAACATACCTTGTCCACTGAACTGTTTCAAATTCTTGAATTTGTCGAGAACATCCTGGATATGATATGCTGCTGCGTGCATATAAGGTGTAATATTTTTATTTGCATAGCCCTTTCTGTGGTGTTGCAAGGTAAGAAACAGTGTTATCCAGCGTCGGATCTGAAATTTAAATTAAAAGCATTCAAAAGAGTTTCTCAAAGAATTACTATGTTGTAATTGATATCATTATATACTACCACTTTCCATTAATATCCATACAACAGAAAATGACTTACACTAGATCCACATGTCTCCAGTTCAACAGGGTTATTAGAAGAAATACAGTTGAAGTATATGTCAGCAAAATCCTGTCAGTGAAAAAATTTTTTAACAAAATCATTTATGAGTATGACAAGATCATATTAATGGCACTGAATTTTGAAAAAATTGCCAACCAGAATTGAGAATTGTTTTCATGTATACTATTACGTCTGGAAAGGTTTTCTGCATGGTTTTACCCATATATGTGTATTCACCTACTGTATATATAGCCTCAGGTAAAATATTTTAGGTATGATATATGATATCATGATAATCTTTAATCCCTAATAAAACCATAGGGATACGCGCACAATACAACACAAAATACAGTAAGAACACAACACCATTGGGGATATTTGGCCACTATTATTTAGTGATAATGGAGGAGAAATGTGAACAAGAACAAGGTACACATAACATTATATTATGTAGACATGGATATTTCACAACAAACTCATTTCGCAGCCTCGCGCTATAAACAAGAGCCAGAAATATTCTGGTAAGATGATACAAAAGTGGTTCTATTTTAATTTTGTGGTGTGGATTAGATTTTAACCATTTCGCTTGGGTCTCACCATACACATATGTCTATCCGAAAATACGGCGTCCTATACCAAGCAACTTACATGTGCAAGTATTTAAATGTAAAATCTTATAATCGTGGCTGCTTCTAAAGGGTACGTTTTTTCAATATAAAGTCAAAGGAAATTTATTTGAACTATGTAGCTCAGAAATGTGTCCTTGATCTGGATGCCAACCAAGAGGTGAAGAAACCAAAGAAAAGAAAAAGACAGAAGAGAAGAAAAGACAAAAAGAAGAAAAAAAGAACGGAGCACGATCACGACAGCGGTGAAGACACCGAAATTATTGTCTCTGACGACGAAGATAAAAATCTGTATCCACCATTAAAACGGCAGAATG